TGCACACATGCAACAAAAACGCAGAAATGAATTTGATGGTGAAGTGTAATGCACATAGTTACAAATATCAACACAACAGGATAAATCAGGACTGGCCAGCCAAGGTTGAATTTCTTGCTTGTTCAGCTTACAAGTTGGGCCGGACGGAAGTTGAGGTTGTATCTATCTTCAAAAACAGAAACACTCGCAGCAACGAATAGGTGCACGTGACACGGTAGTAAATAAAAAGATTGTCTTCTACGCAAGTTCTAGAAATTTTCATTACGTGGCGAGCTTTGACAGATTGCAGGACTTGATTTATACTTCATTTCCCACCATTTAAAATGGTATTACTACGCCATTTACTTACGTGCCTTGCCCTTAGCAACTACCTGGCCGCAGTAGCGAGCTCAAAGCTGTCTCCAAATGATGGTGTGCTTGGAAAAATTGCCCACGTCGAGACTCTTTTTACAAGAGAGGGTCCAACACCGGATGTACTTGAGCATTTCGATCATTTGATAAAGGATGTCAGGTCATATCGGACCGATAACCAAGTTGTTGAATTGGGGTACGACGAATTGAACAAGTCATTGACACAACTACTATTCAAAAGAGCCTTGATTGAAATCAGTCTCAAGAAGGAGTCCTTAGCTATCGTTGACTTGCAAGATGTTTTGAAATTGGATCCGAAGATGAAACCAGCTGAGAATAAGTTGGTGGAGATATTGGTATCGAGAGGAGACTTTACCAATTTGGAGCAATACTTGAAGGACTCTCACATACCCAGAGAATCGTCCGCTTGGGAAGCAATCGACTTGTTTCAGCACCACTGGACACAAGCAGAAAAATACTTTAAAGAAAACAAGTTTGAGGAGTGCTTGAAGGAACTTGATCAAATTGCAGTGGTTAGCACTAACAGCTATGAAGTGTTTCAGCTATACTTGAAAGCAAGCTTGCAAATGTTCCAAAACGACCCAGAAAAGAAAGTTCAGTACTTGAATGAGCCAGAAGTACCGTTAAAGAAAGTGATCGTTTCGCTACTATCGAAACTAATAATGATCAATCCAGTAAAGAACTTGCAGTATTATACACTTTTGTCAGAATTTTATCTCATCACGGAGGTTCAATTTGATCAGGCTTTCAAGACGGTGAAAAGCTGCTTGAGAATAGATAACGACTACAAGCCATGTGGCGAGTTGTCAAAGTTTTATTCCAAATTTGCAGAATTTTTACAAGATTTGGAGAATTATTCAATCAATAATGGTCATATTTACCCGAAGTTGGAGATTGAACATCAAGGCAATTTTGATAAAGAGCTCATTGACTTGAACTTTAAGAGAATCAATGATTTCTTGTTCCACGAAGATGTCAAATTGACTAGAGCAGAAAAGAAGAAGTCCTTGAAAGTGAAGACAAACTTTGAATACTTGACCAAAGTGAAGGAATTTGACAATGCATTACGTAATTCTAATCTATTATTTTACTCCGACTTGACAAAGTTGGGATGCGAGTCCTTTATCCAAATCGGTGAGTACAAGCATGGAGAAGCAGTGTGTAAGCTTGTTAAGGATAGAGAGTTTTTCCCACTTTCTGTGCCTGAGATTGATCAATTATTGAAAAGCAAGGATTATCAAGGAGCCGAACGGAAATTGCTGAGCTTTAATGGGTATGTTAGAAACACACCGTTGTTCCAAAAGAGAACGAGACCTATTGAGGAGTATCATGCAAGGATGAATCAGGAGAGACAGAGACAGCAGCAGCAAAACTTTTACAGGCAGCAGCAACAACAGCAACAACAACAAAGACAGCAGAGACAACAACATCAACAATATAGACCACCACAGAGTAAACCAAAGACCGACTACTACAAAATCTTGGACATAGGACGAGATGCCGATGACAAGACCATTAGAAAAGCGTACCGAACACAAACCTTGAAGTATCATCCAGATAAATACAAGGGAACCGACTTGACACCGGAGCAAATTGAACACAAAATGCAAGATGTCAATAAAGCGTATGAAGTATTGTCTGATCCAGAGTTGCGTGAACGTTACGATAGAGGTGATGACCCAAATGACCCGTTGAATGGCGGTGGTGGTGGCGGTGGTGGCGGTGCACATCCGCAATACGGTGGCTTCAATGGGGGAGGACAACAGTTCTCATTCAACTTCGGCAATGGAGGTGGCGGCGATTTTTTCCAACAGTTCTTTGGTGGTTTTGGTGGTTTTGGTGGAGGTGCTGGTGGAGGTGNGGTGGTTTTGGTGGAGGTGCTGGTGGAGGTGGAAATCCATTTGGAACTCACCATAAAGTCAAGATTAAAAAGAATAAAAAGACCAAAAAGAGAAATTGAGAGAGACAGAATGTGTATAGATGATAGATATAGATGTTTGAAATTAGAGGTTTCTTATTGGATGGGGGAGGGGGGGGGAAGTTGGTGAGGATTTGTAGTGAGACACGTATGGAGATGTTAATGCATAATGCATGGTTTGTCCTTTTTCTGATATGCACGACTGATGCAAAGTGCTGGCTGAAAATGTATGTGTGATATGTGATTGTGCGTTAATTATTGATGTATGGATGTGGGGGATGTTGCACTGCAAATTACTTGATAAGAGACGGCGAACAATTTTATTTGGCAACGGTTGTGCCACAGTATATCACGGCACAGCTCAACCTGTTAAAATTCAGCACCTATTGTTGCTTCACCACACTCGCTTTATTAGACACAACGCACAGAATCAACTAGCTGCTCTGGACCACGTTTCAATATGAAGTATTCAGTTTTGTTGTCCATTGCAATTGCTGTTTCCAAAGTAGACGCATTGCCTCCGCTTAAATTTTGGCAAGATGTTATTCCATTAGGCGGACAACAACCCCAAGCTAACCAAGAAGTTTTTGTTAATTCACAATCTAGTGGTGTAGATGAGAAGCAGGAGGATGTTTTGGGGTTGCAATTGCCACATTATGAAGAGTCTGAGTCGATTACAATCACCGACGTCATTGACGAGTCTGTTTATGAAAAATTACCCGAAATTGATTCTGAGTCTTTGCAATCCACAATCAAAGAAGCAAATTTGAGAAAGCGTGCTGAGTCATTGTTTAAGGTTGCCAATTACTCCACCAAGAAATATGGCCATCCAACTAGAGTCATTGGTTCACCGGGCCACTGGGCCACTATCCGGTACATCATTTCTGAATTGAAAAAGCTCGGTGGTTACTACACCATTAAAACCCAAAGTTTTGATGCTATTGACGGCCATATTGATTCCTATTCTTTATTGATTGATGGTGTGCAGCCCAAGAGTTTGAAACCGTTGGCGTTGACACCACCCACGGCTGATACACGTCCGGCACACGGGAACTTGGTGTTGGTCGAGCAGAATGGATGCTCGTTGCATGATTATCCGCATTTGACAAAGGGAAACATTGTGTTGATCAAACGTGGTGAGTGCTCGTTTGGAGACAAGTCTAGGAACGCTGGTAAATTGGGAGCCAAGGGGGCAATTATCTTTGACTCCGAAGGTGCTGTTTCTGGTACATTGGGTACACCTAATGGAGATGAAGTTGCCACTGTTGCAGTTGATGAGAAGGATGTCGAAGAATATATCAAAAAGTTGAAGGCTAATCCAAATCACAAGTTTGAAACTACGTTGTATGTTGATTCTTATGTTAAAAATATATCAACCATCAATGTTATCGCTGATACTGTATTTGGTGATCATGACAATGTTGTTTCGTTGGGAGCCCATTCTGATTCTGTTGGAGCAGGACCAGGTATCAATGACGATGGTTCAGGTACTATTTCATTATTGGAAGTTGCTCAGCAATTGACAAAGTACAAGATTAACAATGCTGTTCGATTTGCTTGGTGGGCAGCTGAAGAGGAAGGTTTGTTGGGATCGACATATTACGCTAACCATTTATCCAAGCTGGAGAACAAGAAGTTGAGATTATTTATGGATTACGATATGATGGCGTCTCCAAATTATGAATATGAAGTCTACGATGCTAACAACAAGGATCATCCCAACGGACTGGGAAATCTACGTGATTTGTACATTGATTGGTATAAACAGCATGGGTTGAACTACACATTGGTTCCATTTGATGGTAGATCAGATTACGTTGGATTTATTGATCAAAATATACCAGCTGGAGGGATTGCCACTGGTGCCGAAAAGTTGAAGGACAAAGAAGCTAAACGCAAATTTGGTGGCGACTTGGGTAAAGCGTTTGACCCATGTTACCATCAATTGTGTGATGATTTGTCAAACCCAAGTTATGAAGCATGGGGATTGAATACAAAGCTTATTGCTCATTCAGTTGCTACTTTTGCCAAGACTTTTGATGGGTTCCCCAAGAGAGAAGTAGATAAGGTGCAACAACAACTGGTTACCGGTGGTGATGCTTTGTTTACAAGAAGAGGTGATTTGTATGTTGTATAGAGTTGAAGAATGTATAGAGCTTGAAAGTGACCTACGGCACAGCTTTGATTTCGACATTGTACATTTGGTTTTCCCCAACTCCGTACAATCCTGGAGGCATCAGTTGTAGTGGATGATCCAGCTAACAATAAACACTTCGTCCTCGTGTTGAGTGGCTCCATTGCTCCTTTACTCCATTGCTCCTTTGCTCCATTGCTCCATTGCTCCATTGCTCCATTGCTCCATTGCTCCATTGCTCCTTTACTCCATTGCTCCATTGCTCTTCAGTGTGTGAAGCTGCTAGGTCATGTTTTTTTCGGAGATATATAGTCAAAATGCATACCTATACTAGTATTTCGCAAATTTTGATTCGAACGGTCTTATACAAATGTACATCTACCAAAAACCCCCCCTTCTACACCAACAAGCTTTCCTCCTCGAAAGAAACATCACCAAATTCCCAACATCCTCTGTGGTGCGATTTTGCAGTTTTTTGCACATCCACCAACTCTTCAACATATTTCTTCACTGCCGGATTAACAGTCTTGGGTTCAACAATAGCCCAACCTTGGCTAACCAACTCCTTATTGATAGTGTACGTGGCATCCTTTAAGCTTTCCTCAGCATCATATAAAATACTCTCATAGGTTGTGTTTTTTCCTGGCAATACACTAGCCACCAACTTTTTATCCAAAGTCAAGTCTTCCAAGAACTCAATGGCCGTGGTGTAGTAATCGGTGTTTCTGGGTGGTAATTGCAAGTTCTGTAAAGTGGCGCTAAATGCAAATGGAGGAATCGATGCATATTTGGTTGGCAATGAACGCAATTCCTTAACTCCGACGTAATCAATGTTTCCATAATCGATAAACGACACTTCAACTTTGCCCTTGACTACGCCCAAGCTCTTGGCACGGTAGTATTTACCGTCAAATTTAGCAGATACCAACTCGCCCTTTCTCGGAGCTTTTTCTAATCCAGCTGGTAAATCCTGCGACAGTTTGGAAGCACTTGGGGTTTGTGCATGGAAACGATCAAATTCAGATTCAAATTGATCCAACTTGTTCAAATCTTTTTGGAAATACAAGACACCATCTTCGTTTATGTGTGTTACGGCAACATCGAAAAACTCAGGCTTGGTTATGCTAGCAGTTTGTAGTTGAGACGTGGTTTTAGCAACTTCCTTTTCGGCATTAGGGTCGTATCCTTTCCAAATACCCTTTTGTTGCTCTCTCGCTTTATCTTCAGCATTGATAAGGATGGATGCTTCTGGATTGGTGTTTACGAAATCGGAAAGTTTGACCAACCCTTGTGAAACCAAATCCTTTTGAACAAGTGATGGACCGTGATACAAGTTCCCAATGAATGATCCCACTTTGTCAATATCGTAAACTTCAAACTCAATTGGTCTTTGGAAAAACTTTTTTGTGATGTACTTTACCCCTTCTTCCGAATCATCATTGGCGATTCCACCAAGAATCAAATTCAAAGTTAAGCTTTCCTTTGGGTTGAAAAGTTTGACCTTGTTCACTCTTGGCACATACAGGATGTGGAATCCGGATACTCTACCTTTTGATTTAAATCCATTCAAGAATGTTTTGGCTTTAGCTTGAGTTTCAGATGCATCGACAATTCTGGAACTGACAGTTGCAAATTTATCAAGGTCGCCATAAATACCCTTTTTTTGCTTTTTGGCAACTTCTTCCAACTCCACAAGCTTGTCCCAATTGCTAGCTCGTTCGTGTTCGGTACTTTTACCGTGCTTAATCACCGATGCAATTCCCTTGGCAACAATAGATTCCGATAATTCAGAGATGGTAACGAGAGGACGCTCTTCAATGCCCAACTCCTTATTGGCCTCTCTATACCCATCAACATGGGCTTGAAATTGTTTACCGATAAAATTGGATCGAACAAATTCACGAGCTGTAGCAACAATAGCTTGTTGTTTTGCCGAATCAGTGGTCAAGGTAGTGTCCTTCGGCTTTGGTGCCCTGATGGATGCCAATTGTACAACAGCCTCTTCATCCGAGCCGCCAGCTACTCTTACAGCTAGCGTATCAGCACCAATAACTCTCACAATGGCAACATTTACAGTGTTACCCACTTTCAACCTTGATCCCTGGCCAGCTGAAGTGCTTGGTCTAATTGCATTGGCAAAAATCCCTTTACCGAGAGCTTTTGCAGTTTGCTCCGCTTTTCTCAATTTGGACATTGTTGTTGCTCCAACAAGAGTGGATTGCCAATCAACAATCTCTGCATAACCCAACTCCAAAAGCTTTTCACTGACATCGTTTCCCAGAGGATGATTGACAACAGCAATAGGAACACCCGATTGGCTCTTGCCAATAATGGAAGCTGTCAAAGTCGCTTTGGTTGTCAACAATTTCTCCTCAATGAAAAGCTTGGCTTGTTGCGCAACTTTTACCAAGTGAGCTGGCTGGTTTGCGTCATCAGTTCTAGGCGTTTTAACACCAGCTAACAAAAAGGTAGACTCGGAAACTTTGTAGTCGTTGACATATATGTATGCCACAATACGATCTCCACTGATTACCTTTTGCACAACAAATTTCAATGGTTGTGTCTGAGACACCAGAGTTATCTCATCATCCAAGGGGCTCAATTGGACTCTTTTTAATTTCTCATTCCAAAGTCCAGCTTGTTGCTGTTTTGCTTTTGTTTCAATTTGTTGCAAATGGTCTTGCACTTCTTCGGGAACATTATCTCTCAATTTGACGTAACCGTTTGTTAACAAGTACTCAATCAATGAATCAAAAATGGGGGCTTTGAGATCGCCAAATTCTCTTGTGCCTGCTTTACCCTCAACTTTGATCTTTACCTCCTTACCAATCAACAATTGGCGAAGGTATTCCTTAGACAATACGTCGTCAATTGGTCTCACATATTGCAATGTAATTACTCTTTCCGGAGGAGGGATTTGAGTTGACTTTGGCGGAGTTACCACAACTGTATCTCCACTCAAAACGTTTTTAACTTTGGCAACGAAGACTGACATCGATGGTTTGTAGATCGTAAGGGTGGGGTATTGTTGTGGAGGGGACAATTTTTCAAATTTTTGCCAACGTTCGCGATTTTTTTACAAAAAGTGTGGACAATTTTGTAACATGAGCTGGAAATTTGAAATTGTATGAATAACCTTGTATAGAGCAAGACAACAAGATAAGAGTATTGCAAGTATTTACAGAAAAGGCAACAACAACAGCCAATAGTTGCATCTCGACACCTTTGCGTTTTTGAAGCTCTTGAATAGAAGATGGCACCGAAACTTAGATTCAGCGCTACCTGAAAAATTGGATTATCATAGAGGAGTCCCCCCCCCCGTGACTGTTTTACGTTTTTCCCTCGTCCATACTTAATGGAAGCTCTGTGTTTTGCATTTCCCCCTCATTCTATACGTGAACAATATACACTTCTATTTGAATAGTTTTTGTAGCGACATACCTTCTTCATTATTCTTTGACATAACCTTGGCAACAGCCAACTCAAAATCTTCCTGGGTAACATGGATCCTTCTTTCTCTCAATGCATACATACCAGCTTCTGTGCAAACACCCTTGACATCAGCACCAGAGGACCCATTCATTTTCTCTGCAATTTTCTTCAAGTTGATTCCTCTAGTCAAATTCATCGATCTAGAGTGGATCCTCAAGATGTCAGTTCTTGCTTGCAACGTTGGTGCCGGGAACTCAATCTTTCTATCAATTCTTCCCGGCCTCAATAAAGCAGGGTCCAAAATGTCCAATCTGTTGGTGGCCATAATGATTTTGATATCCTTGGAGCTTTCAAACCCATCCAATTGGTTCAACAACTCCAACATAGTTCTTTGCACTTCGGAATCACCACCAGAAGATCCTTCAACTCTTGATGACCCAATCGAATCGATTTCGTCCATGAAAATAATCGATGGAGCATGTTCCCTTGCCATAACGAAAAGCTCTCTAACCATTCTAGAACCTTCACCAATATATTTTTGTACCAACTCGGAACCTGAAACTCTGATAAATTTACAATCAGTGTGGTGGGCCACAGCTCTAGCCAACAATGTCTTTCCGGTACCGGGTGGTCCATACAATATTACACCTTTTGGTTGTGCGATACCCAAACTTGTAAACAATTCTGGATACTTGACTGGTAGTTCAATAACTTCCTTAATCTCCTTAATTTGTTTATCTAATCCACCAACCATATCGTAAGTAGAATCGGGAACTTTCTCAACCATCATCAATGAAACCAAAGGATCGACCTTGTTTGGCAAGATCTTGTACAAATCATGGCTGTCTGCTTTCAAACAAACTCTTATTGATGGTGTTAGTTGCTTGATATCAATATCTTTAGTCACATTTACAATGTATTTCCCCTCGGGATGGATCTTCACAAGGACCTTCTTTGTGCCCATCACCTTGATGACTTCTCCAACAAAGGAACCTGGTTCTTGTAGTAATCTCAATTCATCTTTCAACTGTCTTACACTATTGTTTAATTTATTACGTTGTGCTTCCAACCGACGCAAGTTCTGGGTTCTTTGTTGAATTTCAATCTCTGCGTCTTGTATCTGTTGTTCAAAGAAAGGTCTTATACCTCCCTCATGTACGTATGGCTTGTCAATGGTTGTTGTGCTCATATTCAATGTGGTTCTAGCCGGTGCTCTGGTTGAATGTGTATGTAGGAGTTGCGTTGCCACCAAAAGAGAGAGAGAGAGAAAAAAAAAAATTGGCGGTGTTTGCTTTAAATGTTGTTGTTGTTAAAAAAAAAAAAAGGAATAAGGAACAAAGTCGTGTAATTGTGGATGAAAAATAACAAATAAAATTGTATATCCTTTATTGATTTTGCAATATCGCGATTTTAATCAGTTGAGTAAAACTACTATAAAGAAGCAGTCTTAGATCAATGAAGATATCATCACATTGTGTTGGACTTCTTCTCGCACTAGCTGCATTTGCTCAGTCATATCAACTTTATTGCAAATGCCAGTGTAACAAATCACTGGCAATATATAAAGTTGATAATTGCAAACAATGCACAAGAGAGTTTTGTCTTGAGAAGGACTCAGAGTTGTGTGAAGTTGTATCTGATACGACACCTCCAACAAAGAAACCAGTGACAAATGACAATATAATTATTAGTTGCTATCAAGTGGAATCTATTAAAGATGCAGTGATTGTTTATACATTCTTGTTATTAATTGTAGGATTGATGATCAAGATAGTATATAGTAAGTACATAGTTTGATGAAAAGATATTTTAATGAAAGACTTGTGTGGTGTTATTGATATACACACTACTCAGTATTATAAGTGTTTGCAATTATAGTTATTAGTTATAGTTATAGTTAAACAAAAAAAAAAAATCACTCACTCTGTCTCTCTGTCTGTCTCTCTCTCTCTTGTTAACAAATTTTTTTTATTTGTTCTTTTTCTCTATTTCTTTCATTTTTAATTAAAGCTCTTCCTTCTACTTCTTCAATTAAATTTTTTTTTTTTTTTTTTATGTATTTTTTTTCATATCCTCTCTAAAACACCACACATTTTTGTTATCAAACACAGACATATATATCCTATTCTTTTAGCATAAGATATGTCTGATAACAACACCAATGACTCTAAGCAGCAGTCTGCAGCTGCTGAATCTGCTGGACCTGTTGGATCTGCTGGATCTGCTGCTCCTTCGAATGCCTCAGCTACCAAGGCAGGATTAGCATCAGGATCAGATTTGAGCCAATCATCGGCTGATCCAAAGCCTGAAAACCAGCAACAACACTTCCAGACAGGTCAGAAGTACCAAGGAAGCAACAACTACAACTACTACCCGGGTCAAGCCCAAGGTTCATTTGCTAATTCTTACGCATATGGGCAAAATCCAAATACGTACAATGGCAGCGCAAATTTTCACAACAAAAACCAATACAACAACCCAAACAAACACCACTCGGGAAACAGACAAAACTACAACCACAATGGCAGTAACAATAACAATGGCGGCAAGTTCAATCAGAACAACAACAGTAACCAAAGCAACCCCAATGCCCAAGCTAACAGAAGGCTGTTCAACAACAACACAAATAACAACAACAAACAGAACCATGGTTATTCTGCTCAACAACAGCAGCAACAGCAACAGCATCAATACATGGCGTATCCGTATGCTGCAGCTCCACAAGGGTTCCAATACTACATGCCACAATATTATGTCCCCGTGGCTTATGGACCACCAGGCTCTCAATCATATGCGTCTCCATCAAGTAGTGCTTCAAGTGGCTCAACTCCTCAATACCCTCATTCACAAATCAGAACTCCGCCAGCGTCAAAGGTCAAATTGACTACAAAGGATGGTAAACCAGTTGATTTGGAGGAGAAAAAGAAGAAAACAGCTTCGTCAACTCCAGTGGCGTCTCCGTATGTCAAACATGCATCACCTGCGGTTGCATCTGTCACTACTGAAAAACTGGAATCATCGTCTCCGGCACCTGCATCTTCTGAAGGTGCTGCATCAGTCTCAGCAGCACAAACACCTGCACAACCATCTGCACAACCATCTGCATCTACATCTACATCTACATCTACATCGGCACCTGCACCTGCACCTACTCTTTCTGCTGCTGAAGAGTTCAAGAGAAAGATTAGGGAAAGAGCTGCTGCCGCCGCCGCTGCCAAAGAGAAGCAAAAGAAACAAGACGAAGGTGTGGCCGAGAAGAAGGAACCTAAAGAGCAACCCAAAGACGATGTCAAACAGGCTAACAAAGAGGAACCAAAAGCTGAACAAGTGGAGGCAGCTTTGGAAAAGAAACCTGTACCAGAACCTAAAGAAAATGTTTCAGAACTTGGATCTAAGAATAAGGATAATGATAATGATGTTGATGCTGGTGTGGCAAAGGAGTCTGAAAAGGAGGTAATTACAAGTACTCACATTCCTGTAACATCAAGTGCAACAGAAACAGACAAAGAAGCAACTCCCACTGTTGCACCAACTGAGCCTGTTGATGATACACAGAAGGAACAGGAAGCCACTACAGAACAATCCACAAAAGAAAATAATGAACAAGAACTACCTGAAAGCAAACAAGATAAGAAGACTGAGGAGGCAAAAGAGTCCAAAGATGATGTTGAAGTAGATCGCGCAGATGCCGAAACCACAGAAGTAACAACTGGTGCTGATGATAAAGAGCAAGAGGAGGAGGAAGAAGAAGAAGAAGAAGAAGACGCAGACGACGCAGATGACGCAGAAACTACAGAAAACACCGAACCGGAGCTCAACATTACCCAATTTATGAAGAAAATTGCAGAAGTTCCAGCATTCACAAACATTTTGGATGTCCAGTACCCTGACAACTTTCACGCTGTCGACAGCTCGAGACAGATTCCTAGCAAAAAATACAGATACGATCCACAGTTCCTTATGCAATTCCGCGAAGTTGTTCAATATCCAATCGACGCCGACTTCAAAACTCGCTATGGATACTTGGAGCTTGGCCAACAACAAGCACTCAGACGCTCAGGAACTGGTAGAGACTCGTCCTCTCGTAATCTTGGTCCAGGAGGTAGACAACCAAGTAATGTGGGTCGTTTTGGTGGTCCTCATGACAAGCGTGGTGGTGGTGGTCTTGGAGGAAATGCAAGCTCTTTTGACAGCAGACAAAACTCCAGAACAGGATCAAAGAGAAGGGGTGCGTCGACTAGAGACAAGTCCACTAGGAAACCACTCCAATCAAAGAGAGGTGGTAGGGGTAATGACTCACGTGAACCTACCGAAGAAGAGTTGGCCAGAGAAGCTCCAAAACCAGCGGAGGATGTTAAACCATTGGAGAAGACAGCTAATAGATGGGTTCCAAAATCAAGGGTCAAGAAGACCGAAGTCAGGTATGCTGAGGATGGTAGTGTCATATTAGAGAAGGAGGATGTCGAAAGAAAGATCAAGTCCTTGTTGAATAAATTGACATTGGAGATGTTTAATGAAATCACCGATGAGATGTTGGACATTACAAAACAATCGAAATGGGAAACTGATGCGGGAACTATTAAACAAACGATATCTTTGACTTTCCAAAAGGCGTGTGACGAACCATATTGGTCAGAAATGTATGCCAAATGGTGTGCCAAGATGACCACCAACATTCTCCCTGAAATCAGCGATCAAACAAGCACATTGAAGGATGGCTCGCATCCATCTGGTGGTGCTTTGGCAAGAAGAGTGTTGTTGACCACGTGTCAAGTTGAGTATGAAAAAGGTTGGAGTGATAAGCTACCAACAAACCCCGATGGGTCTCCACTTGAACCTGAAATGATGAGTGATGAATACTATGCCATGGCTGCTGCCAAGAGAAGAGGGTTGGGTCTTGTGAAATTCATTGGACACTTGTACAATTTGAACATGTTGAATGATCAAGTCATTTACGTTTGTCTCAAGGATCAATGTAGCAATACCACCGATCCGTCCGAAGACAGTTTGGAGAATTTGGCACAATTGATCAAGACAGTTGGTCCGAAATTGGATGCTAACGAACGTACCAAGACTATGCTCAAGATTGTGTTTGACAACATTGCCACTATTTTGAGCAATGTCAAGTTGAGTTCGAGAATCAAGTTTATGTTGATGGACTTGCAAGATTTGAGAAAGGCAAAATGGCAAAGTGGTAAACAAGATGCACAACCTACAACCATTGAGGCTATACATAGAGATGCTGAGATTAAGAAATTGAAGGAGGAAAGAGAAAAGAGCAGAAGACTGCAGAATAGTGGAAGGTCAGCAAGTCTGCATTATGGATCTAGCAACATTGGCGGTGGTGGTGGTGGAGGAAGTGGCAGTTCGAGATCAAATTCAGGGTTTGGCTCGAACTTGGCTTCGAACTCAAACTTTTTCAGAAAATCGCCATCGGTGGGAAGATCCGATTCTAATGCTAGTAGGAGCGCCAGTGAGCGTGCAGGAAGTGGTGTAACTGGAGGTGGTAACACCGGTAATGCACCTGCAAGTGATCTTCAAAGGGATTCGTCGAGGAGGTCGGAGAATCAACAAATTAATAGATTTGCTGCGTTGGGTGGTAATGAAGATGAGGATGTTGAAGATGAAGGAGCCGCTGATGCCGAGGAGACATCATAGCGTCATCGTAAAATACAGAGTTCAAAACCTACAGAAACAGCAAAGTGAGAATGTTTTGAAGAGTTTGTACAGGCATGTAAATCAAATAAATGTACAGTATTAAATTTTTTTTTCAAAAGAGGGCGAAAGTTGCTCAAAATGTAGTGAATTATGCAATATCTCTAAAAGATGTCATGTAGCATAGTCTTAAACTCTAGCCAAGCTATCATACTGTGGGCTCATGTACACATACTCATTTTGATAATCACTAATCCTATCCTTCAAATATTTCAACAACTCCTCCACCTCCAGCACCAACACATTTATACTCAATGCATCCATCGTCGTCTGACTAATCAACCCCGGCAACGACACCAATAACCGTAGGAGATGCTCGACACCATACACATGAGCCTGGGTATGGTCCTGGGTAATGGTGTTGTTTTTCAACAAGTCCAAGTACTGCAAGTTTTCATACTTGTACAAAAGCAAGAAACTCAATGATTTGTCAAAGTAGACTTCGAGACCTTGTAGGATCTCGGTCAAGATTGATATTTGGTGCGCTTGAAGTTTTTGCGACCGCCATATCTTGTAGTCGTGGAGGATGTCTGCGACATTGTGTTGAGTGGGTAGATCCACGAGTTTCTTGTCCTTTGTGATGTATTGCCAGTCATTGACCAACAAGTACTTCAATTCCGGTGGGAATGTGAGATTAACCACTACTGGCTGTTTTTTCGTGGAGGATTTTGAGGATTGGGGTGCTGAGTTATTGGAGGAAGAAGCGGACGTACCGTTGGCTTTGGCCTTTTTATTCCCGTGAGGACCATTCCTGCTGGCTAAATCGGTTGCGCCGACGGATGGTTCTCGTTTCACTCGTTTCCTTTTGGTCAACTGTTCCAACTCCTGCTTCTTGAACTTGTTTTCTTCATTGATCTCCAAAATTCTGTCGATGCCTACCCATTCATCCCATTTCAGATTCCAGCCTTGGTAATGCAAATAGTAGCAAGTGACATTTTCCCATTTTTGCGCATTGAACTTGTGGTTTTGCAGTAATGGTTCTTGTTGTAGGTCTGCGTTCAATATGAATGAATCTTTGGCATTTTTCATCTTTAATATTTTGGCCTCGTATATGAGAGGACCGTGGTATGCGTAAACCATTTGATTTGGTTTCAAATTAGCCATTATTCAATAATATGTTTCTGTGATGGACTGGTTCAGGAGCAAGTATTCAGATGTAAATAGATATAGACAGCACCAATGTAGTTAGTTCAACGAACTTGCCTATATGAACCGTACAGGGCCTAAGGAACAAAATTTCTTTACGCGCGTGAGAGAAGGAAAATCTCTTTTGTTGAAAAAATGAGCAATACAGTTGCACACACATACACATACACACGTAGTAGCACATACAGAGAGAGAAAAGACGTCAACTTATACTTAATCAATCAGAAGCTGAGTAACCCGAAAACAGACCCACACAATCTTCCCCTTCCCCCCCTCAAAACAAATGCAATGTCCCAATCCTCCAGTATAGTAGGCGTACACTACAAAGTGGGCAAGAAAATCGGCGAAGGCTCTTTCGGAGTAATATTCGAAGGCATAAACATCTTGAACAACCAACAAGTTGCAATCAAATTTGAGCCGCGTAAATGCGAAGCTCCACAGTTGCGAGATGAGTACAGGTCGTACAGGATCTTGAACAAGACAGTAGGCATACCGCAAGCATACTTTTTCGGACAAGAAGGTGTTCATTCCATATTGATTATCGACCTTCTTGGCCCGTCCTTGGAGGACCTCTTTGACTGGTGCAACCGCAAGTTTAGTTTAAAGACAACGATATTAGTGGCTAAGCAAATGATTGAACGAGTGGAATCTATACACGAGCATGATTTGATTTATCGTGACATCAAACCAGATAATTTTCTCATAGGGAGACCAGATACGCCGGAGGCAAACCAGGTATATGTTGTTGACTTTGGGATGGCGAAACAGTATCGAGATCCAAAGACAAAAGTTCATATACCGTATAGAGAAAAGAAGGCGTTGAGTGGAACTGCAAGGTATATGTCGATAAACACTCATTTGGGAAGAGAGCAACTGAGAAGGGACGATTTGGAGAGTCTTGGACATGTCTTTATGTACTTTTTGCGGGGGTCTTTACCCTGGCAAGGGTTGAAAGCACCTACTAATAAGCAAAAGTATGAAAAGATTGGCATGAAGAAACAAACCACTTCGGTTAACGAATTGTGTTATGGTTTACCTATTCAGTTTGCTCAGTACTTGGCATACGTGAGGAATTTGAGCTTTGATGAGGCCCCGGATTACAAGTACTTGGTAGGGTTGATGGACAAGGCTATGATTACACTAGGTTTAGAAGATGATGGTCATTACGATTGGATGGATTTGAATAACGGCAAAGGCTGGGATGCCGCATTGAATAAGAAGGCCAATTTGCATGGATATGGGAATCCACACCCACCAAGAAAGTCACAACTACAGCAGCACCAGCAGCACCAGCACCAGCAGCACCAGCAGCACCAGCACCAACAGAAGAACAACAATGCCAACTCACCTTCTTTCCAACGACTCCAAAGTTATGCCAACTATTCGCTGAATCAGAAATTGCCACTTTTGGGCAAGAAGGCGGATGGTAGAAATGCAGCAGCACAGAGGAGATACGGATATCAATCCATAAATCAGGACTCCAAAGCTTCGATGTTGGTGAATGCATATCAACCTGGGCAAGAGCGGGATTTAGAGTATGGCGGTGATCGGAATGGCGTATTGAGTCCAAGAAATGACGAGGAGGATCTTCATTCAGATACTTCAAGTTTCAATAGGAAGAAGAGCCGGTCTTGTTTCTTCTGTTGTTATATATAGTATTACCAAATGGCAGACGAGAGAGAGAGAGAGAGAGAGAGAGAGAGAGAGGCTTTCGTCGGTATGCATTAGCCCGTTTGTGTGTGCGTTTGTGCTACGAAAGTGGGCAAAGTAGTGATAAAATTCAAGGTAAGTTGAATTAAGCTTAGAACTGCTCCAACTGTCGTTAGTCATTTGGATTCTTCTTCAATTAAACATGTGTAAAAGAAATACAAAATCTATACGAGCAAAACCCTACCCTTTCTTACAATTTCGAAGCATCGACAAATTGCACTCCTTGGTCAATAGATCCCTTCAACCCCTTCAATGCAACTTCAACCAACTTCTTTTCATCATCAGTAACGGTGAGTGACTTGAATGGGTCAATGAATGAGCTAATTTCTCCATTGCTCAAGTATACAGGCACTGAAAAGAAATCAACCCCTTGTAAATGGATATTGGAAAACTCCTTTCCACCAGGAATACCCGGTAAATAAATGTAAGCAGAATCTGGAACGACATCGTTCTTCAGACGGCCAGACAACGAGTCAATGACGTACTCAGCGAACCTATATCCAGCGTAAGCCATTGACAAAGTGGCGGAACCAGCACCATTCTTTGCCTTGACAACCTCGTCACCACCAAATTGGACACGGTGTACAAACGCATCGTAGTCGGATTTCTTACTGATCAACCCAACCAGCTTATTGTAGTTGATCAAGGGCACAATCGTGTCACCGGAATGACCACCAATAACGGAGATTTTGCCCTTTAAAGTGTCAGGGTTGGTGTTTGTCAATTCGCCGAAAAAGGTCTCCGCTCTAACACTGTCCAAGGTGGTAACACCAAACAATTTTCTGGGGTTGAAAACACCCAATTTCTTCAACACTTGAGCGGCAATGGGGACGGTTGAGTTGACGGGGTTGGAAATGATCAAAATGGCGGCGTTTGGCGCGGTTCTTCCAATGTTGGCGACCAAGTCTCTGATGATCGATGCGTTGATGTTGAATAAATCAGCTCTGGTCATTCCTGGTTTACGTGGGACACCAGCGGGGATGATGACGACATCGGTTCCTTTTAAAGCTTCAACGATGGCGGTCTTGTCTTGTTTGTCCTTTGGTTGGTAGCCAGTGACCACTGCTGGGGTGTTTATGTGGGACAAGTCAGCTGCAACACCCTTGGCGTTGACAATATCGAATAATGCCAACTCGGTGACATTGGTGTTTAGTTTCAACAATAAGGATAATGGTTGTCCGATACCTCCTGCTGCTCCTGCGACTGTGACTTTAACCATGGTGATGTATTATGTAATAGCAAGTGGATGATGCAGTTGTAAGCGATATATTGAATACAGTTCAAAGTTGGAAAGAATTACTTTTGGCCCAATGCAGAAGAAGTTAGGAAAAATTGTGGGATGTTGTGTTGAATAATTTGATTGTGGGTTTAAATGAAAATCCACATGCGCTATATTACATAATACATTATGTAATAATGAAGAGGGCAACGACGTGGGGTATATTTCATTTTTGTCGGCTCTTCACGTGACCTTTCTTATAACCGAAAAGCCGGGAAATGAAATTTGAAAAATGAGCTTTCTATTGTGGTAACAAGAAAGTTGTCAAGGGAAACCTGCTTCTTTGTCATCTGTGAAAGGATTTTTTTTTTTTGATTCAGCTGATGAGTAAATACATGGATATTGCTTCTTGAATATAGATAAAAGGTATTTTTTCTTTTTTTTTTTTTTTTTGCACTGTTTCGTTGCAAAACCGTAGCCAACCCAAAAGTAAGATCTCCATATCTGCCGAGATGTAGGTGGGTACGGACTCAGATAAATAGCATACACAGTAAGACTGATACCCTACGCATCACAGAGGTGAAGATACGTTAAAGTGTGGATCTACGTCCTATTTGTGCCAGGTCGTCTTGACGGAAAATTTTCGAATTTTCTTTTCTTCTCTGAACGAAAAAATTACGCAACTCCGATAACAAAGCTATCACCCAAGCAATCGGTCAGTTTGATCAATCAATCATACAGTTTGTCAGATTCAACAGGAAGTTCCCTATTCTGACCAAGCAAAGTCCATTAGCTGTATTCATAGATGCTTAAATCGGTTATATCCTTACTAGTCACCTCGGTGATGGTTTCAAATGCCATCGATTGCTCTGTCAAAGAGCTTCAACCATACAATCTCGAAAGCATCAAAGGAACCCATTCGTTCTCAACAATTAAAACCACACCACCAACTAAAACCAACATTACATGGACATTGGGTATATGTGAAGTTATATCTAGTGACAAAAAGAGTGATTTACAAAAATGCCCTCAAAACTCCGACATATGTGGAATAACGTCGATTTTGCGTGATAATGAAGACCCCATTATATCGGAAATAATTGGATTCAATTCTAATCTTCAAAAACTGTTTGATCCATTGGGAGATGAAGGTGCAGGTGGAATCAAGATTAGATACTCTGGAGTCAATTGGGGCGATTCTCTAATTGATGCTGAGGTTAGTTTTGTTTGTGATGAATCGGTAAAGGAAAGCCACAAGTTTGAATTGGATGGATGGAATGGAGAAGTTTTGAAAGTTTCCATGAAGTCCAAAGCTGCTTGTATAACCAGTGACAGCGATAAGAAGAAAAACAATGATAAGAACAAGAACTCGGATAAGAAAAAAGGTGATAATGGTGAGTCATGGGGGTGGTTTACTTGGATATTCATCTTTTTGGTGTTGTTTTTGAGTATTTATATTATTGGTGGTGCTTGGTTCCAATACAACAAAGGTAATGCCATTGATTTCCAAAGTGCACTCAAAGAGGTTCTTGAAAACTTTTTCACATTGTTGCAGGGTTTGCCTAATTTTATTCGAGAAATTCTTGAAAAGGTTGTTGGTAGAAGCAACAGCAGGGGTGACTATAGTGCTGTATAAATGGAATTATATATATATATATATATATGTACAAACTGCGAAGGAAAATCGTGTGATGTGTACGTGAATACCTCAGCAGTAACAGCAATTACAGCAGTAATTGAAAAGTCTTTCGTGTGTATAAGTTTGGACCTTCAAAAGATTAACAGTGTCAATGCGATCGTTTGTAGCTATGAGAAAGTACCAAGACGAGCTCTTGGGTTTGATACATAAGAAGGTGGTAGAAGTCACACTTATCATACTTTGTGTCTGCAAAATAAGAATACAGCAGATCACACCCTCGGGTAGTCAAAATGACACCAACTAACGCTTCTTGTTTGCAGCTGCAATTTAGCAGTGAACGGTTAAAATAATATGCTATGGTCAGAGTAAAACAGCATTCAATTATCCTCGGCTCAAGTACTTGCTTTGTGTTTAATCAAAAATTGTATTGTCGCGCGTTGTTGTTCTCTCCACATTTTGCTTCTGCAAAAGAGATTATATGCAGGATACCTGTAAAATCGTCTGACTTTAAACAAACTAACTTGTAAGCTAGAGTTGCCCACTTTATCCATTGACGGAATCTCAGTACACGATATGACAAACATACGAATCCACGGGACCTTTGACTTTGCTAGTATAGTATAGTATATATTATGCTTAATTGGTGTCCTGAGAAGCATGTGAATTATTATTTCATATAAAGTCTTCTTTCCAGTAATGCGCGCGTAGTTTACTGGAGAGAGATCACAATAAAATAACCTTCACAAAGAACCAGTTGTACTTTCCATCAATAGTAGTCTCTATGACAACTTGTCTAGGGTGTCAGTTCTGTAACATGAAGGATACGAAGCCCTATTACCGAGCTTAGCTACTTCACAGACAAGTGCGTATTGAAAATCGTAGCAGTTAATCAACCCAAGCATATAAGCGCGTTTATTTATGTAAATAGAGGACCTATACTTTTTAAGCATAGTGTAAGCTAGAACACGACCCAATCAGGTATAATAGTAGCAGCAGTAGTACTACAATACTCTCCCATGTATACACTATGTATGTATTATATTACTTAAAAGTGTCTTGTTCAAAAAAAAAAAAAAAAAACAAGAATTATTATTATCGTATTACATAACCAGTATATAATAACACAGATTTAAACATCAAAACTTTGTAAACCCCATGCAACAACTTCTTCTTCTTCTTCTTCTTCTTTGAACACACACACACACCCACTTCTAACAAATCTACGTAAAACTGCTAAATCTTGATATGTCTGGAGACACAGAAGAAATTGCCCACGCCATTGCTGGTGCTGGGGGTGGTGCATTGTCCATGATCGTCACCTACCCATTGGTCACTTTATCTACATTAGCCCAAACAAAAGCAAGAAAGAAGGAGGAGAAGCAGACCGAGGCCGAAATTGAGGCTGAACAACATCGTTTGTCCAAGTTGACTGCACACCAAAAGTTTGCCCATAACTTCCACAACAGCAGCACTGTATTGGCAGCCAAGGAGATTATCAAAGAAAAGGGTGTGCTTGGATTATACTCGGGTCTTGGTAGTGCAATTTATGGAATCACATTGACAAATTTTATTTATTACTACTTTTACGAATTCACCTCCAACATCTTCTTAAAGGCAAACAAGGCCAATAAGAGAAAAGCCGGGTTATCCACCATCCAATCCATTATAACTGGTGCTATTGCCGGAGCCATCACTTCTGTGGGAACAAACCCTATTTGGGTTGCAAACACTAGAATAATGACTGAAAAGAAGCAAAAGGGTGAGGCCAATGCTTCACACTCCACATTAAAGACTATTTTGGACATTATTGAAAAGGACGGCGTTGGAGCTTTATTTGCTGGTGTTTTCCCAGCATTGGTTTTGGTGTTGAATCCAATCATACAATATACCATTTTCGAACAAATCAAGAATGTCATTGTTGCTGGTGGTGGTCAGCAATCATTTACTGCCGTCAAGGCTTTCTTTATTGGCGCATTTGGTAAATTGATTGCCACTACCTTGACTTACCCATACATTACTTTAAAGTCAAGACTTCACATTAGAAAGAAGGTGTTGAAAGAAGAGGGTAAGGATGCCGACAAGATTCCAAACTTGTCCATGTACCAAGAGCTCAAGAAGATTGTTCACGAAGAAGGATTTGAAGGGTTGTATGGGGGATTAGTTGTCAAGTTGATTCAAAGTATTTCAACTGCTGCTTTCCTTTTCTACTTTAAGGAGGAATTGTTGGTTGGAAGTGTTAGATTGGTTCAGATTCTCAAAGTGTTGAGTTTGAAGAAAGGAGGAAAAGCCGTCAGGGCATAAAAGCAGGTGCTCAACTACAAAGTGTACCGATTTTTGAATTGAACTGTTGCGTTCGATGCAAGGAGTTACTCTTGGGTCACACTGTTTCTTCATTGTAGAATACATTGCCTTAAAATTGATATATAGTAAAATACCACTTGCAGTCTTTTAAGCTGAACGAAGTTCTTTATCTCTTTTGCTGATCGATTGCGCTTCTCCAAGGTGAATCTGTCTTTGTCCTTTTACGAATGACCAACACAATGCGAATTGGAGAAGAAAAAAAGCAAAAAAAAGTACTCACGAGTTCAGGAGGTTTTATCAATTGATATTATAACTATATTGCATAAGGCCCTTGCAACAATGAGTATCATCAGTTTTGGGCTAATTCCTGATGGTCGTCGCCCTAAAAAGATCATAAACCTCATCAGCAACAACAATCGAATTGCTCTTGCAATCAAAGCTGAATTCGAAAGGCTCAATTCATTTACCAAATCGTACTTAGCAACCCAATATGAGCAACAGCAACAACAACAGCAACAGCAACAGAAACCAGATACACCAGAGAAGCACTCCCAAAATGAGAAATTACAAGAAATCTTCAAGGATTTGTATGTACTCATTGACTGTGAAAACTTTAAGCTTGACAAGGTTGCAAACATAAACTCGGAAAAGTTGCAAACATTCATCAATAGACTTCAAGGAGTTGAGCTGCAATCGCGGGTAGACGAAACGATACACGACTTGATTCAACAGTACATCAACCTCATCCTTGGTCTTCATTTGTCCAACTCGTTAATCTACAAGACCCTTGTATTGAAAAGCCAGCAAGTGTATTGGGAAACGATATACAGTTCGACATTCAACAAGTTGGTCTACTTTGTTCAAACTTTACCAATTGAATTGTACTACTTTGGTATTGACATGGCCGAAAGAACCAATGAGATTCTTGCACAAAATTTCCATCAATCGCAAATTGCCGACTTGGAACATCGTCAATGGACACAGCAGTACTGGCTCAAGTTGCAGATTTATTCCACGGCATTGGGAAAGTCACTTCTACAAGCTGTGGATTTACTTTTTGTCCAAGCGAATCCGGTGGTGACGTTGCTACAAAAGTCTGATGCGTCTACGTGGTCATCCATAAAGTGGTATGTATCGTCAATTGTCAAGTCTCCCATCACAATCATCAACAAGGAGATTAAATTAAAATTGAAGACGATAAAGAAGGAAATACAACTCAACACGCAAAACATTGACCTCTTTGTGAAATCTGACGTCAGCAACCTTTTACCAGTATTGAACCGAGTTTTGAATATCGAGGATACAACAACTACTGTAAACAACACAGTAATCAATGGAGTCGCAGCTTTTGGCAATAAAGATTATGCATCCACGTCATCTCCATCGTTTCTTACCCGCTACTGGCTCCCCATCTCACTCATTGTTTTTTATGCACCATCACAATCAAGAAACATCTATCTCAATCGGTATGAGATACTCCACTGGATCCAATTTAACGGGATAGAACCTATAAAGGGATTCTTTGTCAACTGGGTGATCAAACCCATTAATGAAATGCTCAATATTTTACGAAGCAATGATGAGATCACCTTGACTTCCAAGGATTCATTGAAATCAGATGTTGAATCTTTGGAGAGGATGGTTTATGAGTTTGCTGAGGATAACCGTATTACAACTTCACCAGATTTGGTTAAGCAGGATATCAAAAATGGTGACTTAAAGCTAGTAATGTCAAGGTATGAGAACGAAATTAGACAGCCTATCAAGTACATCATCTCTGGCTCGTTACTAAGATTGATTTTGATCCAAGTACAAAAGGGTAAAGTTGATGGTGCAGTTGCATTGAGTGGTATAGACAAGTTATTAAAGAGTCAGCAATTGGTGTTTGGAATAGTTTCAATGAGTCCATCCTTGATCATCTTGTACCAAGTTTACAAATACTTTACACTGGCAAAACCATTACTTGTCAATGGCAAACAGTTGAGTATCATTTGTCTCAAGTGTTTGAATAATATCGAGAGTTTGCTAATTTCGTTACTGAGAAAGAATGTACGCAATGGCGATGACAACAATGCCAATACGAATGAAGGAGAGTTGTTGATTGAAATTATTGATTTGATCTTGTGTTCGGAGCGTCTAATTCCCAAGGAGTTGCATCAGGATTGGATTCATGATTTGAACGAGTTGAACAACAGTGAGTATGATATTGAAACAAAGTTGAAGGTGGTGCAACGCATTTGGAACATGTACGGAAATTACTTTAAATAGATGCATCATGGCCTACTCGCATTCGACAAAATTTGATACCAACTTCATCAATGATAATCTGGCATCTAGAGGATTGAATTTGACGTGTGACAAGTCCAAAGAAATCTCCTCCTCAAAACAAAACTGTTTAACAAGATAGCAAGCAATCATAACCACAAACACTCCACAATCATCGAAATTGCGCTGCTGGTCACATTTCATTAGCACAATTTTCAACTTACCTCGAACTAAATTCGAGCAACTCTCGAGTTTTTTACATAAATTTTGCAACTGTTCATCACCTTTAATATCATCATCCAATTTCATCGAATCGTATATGTAGAGTTTCTCTTCAAGGAGTGAAAGTAGTCCCAACACCCAATGATCTCCATTGTTTGCGGTTTCCAAGTCCAATTCTTCCAAAGGCTCGTCGATCATGTTGATGGGTAAGAAGATAAATCTCAGCTTTTGCAAATCATCCATCGGTAATAGATTCTCAATGTCCAAAGCGGGGAAATGCTGTACTAGTTGAACAACACTGGGGAATAGCAATTGAATTTGGTTTGTAAATGGTCGACTATCGTCCAGATTGATAAATGTTTCCTTGATGAGTTCAAATATGAGTGAGATGTTGTTGTCGTTGAACCATTCTCCAGGAAGGATGTGCTCTAGATCGGACTTGTAGATTGATATTGAGTGGCATTGGGCAACTTTGAAATCTGACACATCTGGTTTGGATGTTGTTGACGCTTTTTTGATTATGTTTTTGTAAAGTTGTTGGAGCTCTTGTTTGGCAAGATACGGCTTAAAATTAGCCTCAATAGCCGTGTTACTGGAGTCTAGCTCGACTTGTCTCTGTAGTTGTTTACGTCGCTGGACATTGATCTTTTTCGCTTGACGCAACTCGCGCTTCTCCAGTTTAGTCAATTTCTTACTTGGTTTGGAAGTTTCTTTGGCTGGTACCTGCTCATCGTCATCGTCATTGTCATTGTCATCATTATCACCATCACCATTGGCTTTCGGTTGGATATATTTGTCCCATGGTAAAATATCAATACCGTTGGTAGTGATGCTTTCTTTGGAAACAGTGGAATCAGGATCTATGCAGAATCCCTTGTGTTCTCGCCAAGCGAAGGATGTCATTGGATGTGTCGTATGGCTATATGAATGTGTCTGCCTTTTCAAGTGCTGAAATTTTTGTTTTCTGACAATTGTTTTGACACTTTACTAATAGAATTGACATTTTTATCTAATCCACAAGAGCTCAAAGAACAACGAAAGTTTTACAGCCAATTGAAATTACCCTACTACAAGACAATCAGTCGAATGACAAAGCTAGATTGGGATGAGACCGTGCTGCTCCAGTGTTTGGAAAGGGAAGTGGTTGCAAATACTTCCAGAAGGAGAAAAATAGCGAGGAAAAAGTACCTGAAGATTTGAAAAAAAAAAAAAAATAAAAATAAAAATAAAAATAAAAATCCACCGTCTGATTCAAGAATAACTCCGTTTAACGAATTTGAAATACACATCTGTACTCCATTATACTGTTTGACAAGCGGGCGTGACACCATAATGAGAGCCATACTCCGTCAACTCATCTCACGTCGATGCATTTCACTAAACACGAGACCGAAAACTGTCATAAAATTAGGACAACCAACTTTCGAAACCAGGCCCCACATTATACCCAAACCTGGTAACCTTACACCTGGTATATCAGCACTCGAATACTTTCAAAGACGATTGAAACTAGCGACAAATCTACCTGACAAGTCGTTGGCCATTATAATTGGAAATACTACAAAATTCAGCTCTGGAAGTGTGTTTTATGACTTTCAACAAGACAATGATTTTTACTACTTGACTGGCTGGTTGGAGCCTGACTCCATAATGATATTGGAGAAAAGGGGAAGCAGAGGGGATGACGACGTTGTACTACATATGTTGGTTCCACCGAAAAATGAGCAACGTGAATTATGGGAAGGCGCAAAGACTGGGTTGGATGGTGCTTACGAGTTTTTCAATGCTGATTGTGTTGAGGATGTTGGCAAAGCGTCCACGTATATCAAGTCACTTATAAGCTCAGCAAACACAATCTTTTACGACAACAAGTATAACGACAGACTGAGGTCCAAATCCGCATTTAGCCTGTTTTTCAATTTCGGCAGTGGTGACAAGTTGGAAGGTTTGAATGACATTGTGTTGAATTCAGGGAAACACATAAGCCCATTGAGTGCAAAAGTGGCAGCCTTGAGGAAAATAAAATCGCCAGCTGAAATTGAGGTTATGCATGCCGCTGGACAAATTTCAAGTCGTGCTATAAATAAAGCTATTGGGCAAGTGGGTTCAGAAAATCCGATTGCTGCGGAGAAGACCTTGGCCAAGTACTTGGAGTATCAATTTGTCAGAGGCGGTTGTGATAAGCAAGCATACATCCCCGTAGTGGCAAGCGGGTCCAATGCTTTAACGATTCATTACACTAGAAACGATGATTTACTATACCGGGACGAATTGGTGTTTGTTGATGCAGGAGGCAAACTCGGCGGGTACTGCGCTGACATTTCACGATCATGGCCAAACTCAACCAATGGATTCAGTGAGCCTCAAAAGGACCTTTACGAAGCTGTGTTGAATACGAATAAGAAATGCATTGAGTTGTGTAATGAAAGCTTGAATTATTCATTGCATGATATTCATGAGTACTCCGTCACGTCATTAAGAAAAGAGTTGCAGAACATTACTGGATTTCCACACTTGAGCAATTTTGATGTATCAAGATATCTTTATCCCCACTATATTGGCCATCATTTGGGCTTGGACTTGCACGATGTCCCTTCAGTATCTCGGTCTGAGAATTTAGTAGCTGGAAATGTCATTACCATAGAACCAGGCTTGTACATACCAGAAGATGACAGATGGCCAAAACATTTTCAAGGAATTGGAGTCAGAGTGGAAGATGACGTGGTTGTGGGTAAGTCAAACGACGAGATCATCAATCTTACTAGCGGATGTGTCAAGGAAGTTGTTGACATTGAGTCTTTGATCAACGGGGGTGTAACTACTCCAGGCATAGATGATGAGTTGGTAATATTGGATATTTAAAAATGCATCTTGTAACATAAATGTTTATAGACTATTTACAAAAATAAACACTTTAATCACAATCTAACGACCCAAGTTCAACAAAAGAGAGTTTTTAGCGCCTTCTCCACTACCATCACCACCATCACCATTACTTGGCAAGTAAGTAATGTTTGCTGAACCAGCCAAAGTGCTAGCAATATCCTTGGAAGCTTCTAATCTCCTAATCATCAATAAACCATCACCAGCCTTTGCCAATGCTTTGGACACAACATCTGCAGATTCCGCTTCTCCTTCGGCTCTAATAATGCTTGCTTTCTTTTCCTGTTCTGCCTTTTCAACGAGATATTTCGATCTTTCAGCATCTTGTTGAGCAATCTGTTTCTGTTCAACAGCTTTTGTGAATTCACGTCCAAATGTCATGTGAGTAATTGAAACATCTTCCAATTCGATATTGAACTCATTAGCTCTTCTTGACAACTCTTGTCTGATCCTAGCAGAAACAACTTCTCTTTGGGTGATCAACTCAGCGGCGTCGAACTGGGCCACAATCGATTTCAAAATTTCATTTCCAATTGCTGGCAACACTCTTTCATCATAATCCAAACCTAAAGTCTGGTAGATTGTGGGCAATCTGGGCACATCGGGTCTTGTCAAGACACGCAATGTGATTGAGACATTTTGTAAATCCTTGGATCCAGTTGTTGTTGTGATGACTTTTGGCTTGATTCTGACATCAAACAAGACTGCTTTTTGCAACCAAGGCACAAGGAAATGTGTCCCTTCACCAATTACTCTTTGCTCCACACCTTTCAAACGATCAAAGATGATGGCACGTTTGCCTCCCGGCACGTCGTACATGGACGATTGTGCTAATGCAAATGCAACACCGGCTGGCAACGCAACTTTGGAAATCACCTCCGCTATTCTTTGAGACATTGGTGGTATGTAGAGGACTTATGTATGATGGTAGATGTCAGTAAATTCAATGCCAACTAGAGCAAAGTATGTCTCTGTCACTCTTTCAGGAAATCGTTTGCGGTTTGGAAATTTTTGTTTTTCTTTTGCGGTACACGACCTGCAATTCAGTGTATTGTGATCAAGTTGTGACACAAGTTTTGCATAAACCATCTCAACAGTAACTCAATGTTCTTCTCAAAATTGTCTATAGCCATTGGTTGTAAGAAACTGTGCCATCTTTACTACTCAATAACACACACACACACACACACACACACACAAACGTAGCGACACTATCAATTGTAAGTATTTGCGTGTGTTGCACAACTTTTGTTCGGTTGCAAATTCCTAATCCTTATATTTTTTTCTCCTCCGTGCACGCACACTTCTACCACACGGTAAACTATGGATACACATAGAACTTACCACAACTAAGCTATTTGCTTACAGCTGCTTGTATATGTTAACTTTTCCATATATATAGAGTCACTAGAGTTATATCTACCGATAACGTTGTGACAATACTGCTTATAAGGCTTTAGATATCACCTAAAGTCTCACTTATATCGATTTCCCTACAGTTGCAAAAAAGTTTGATATTCTCAATCTTCCCAATATTCACCAAAAATTTACCAAAACTTTACCAAAAAAAAAACTTTAGCATTTCAACATTCCCTTTTCTTCCCTACTCAACAATCTACCTTCCGTTTACCATTTACTCAACATTAAATATACAATAATGAAGTCCATCAACGTTAACTTTATTACTCCTGAAGAGTTATACCAACTTATCGATTTTAAAAAGGTCGATGTCACCAAGGTTATTCCCGGATTTGATCCATCAGCTGGCTTCATGCTTACTTCGCCAGCATTTTTCACCCCATTTGAGGAAGACCACCAACCTGTCATTCAGTGTGACAGCCCAGAATCATTACCATCATCATTACCACCATCACCACCATCACCACCATCACCACCATCACCACCATCACCACAAACTCCGTCAGTTCCAAACTTTGAATCATCTGAAATCAAAAGTTTAAATATAGAATGTGATGAGACGAACCCCCAAGAAACTGAAGCAAAAGACCAAGTGAGTGAGGTTCATTTTGAAGGCAGTGAATTGACTTTGAATCAGTCTGCCGTCGATGAAAGAAATGATGAGTTGTGCAAAAACTTGGACTCTTGGTACACCGTCAACGTTTTGTTGGAAGATGAGTGTCCTTCTGCTCCACACATGACATGTGGGGAGTTACCTGCTTGGTTGACTCAACAACCAAATCAACACGTCGATGAGAAATTGACCATCAAAGCCTTTCAGGAGTTAATAAACTCCACCAACAACATCAATCACACCAACGACACCAACAACAACACAAGCGACAGTAACACTACCAGAAACGAAGACAAAGACATCAGCACCAACTGCAGTGAGGAGAAAAATGATGCAGCTCCGATCAGTCCAGGCACAGATGAAGATGTTGAGAATGAAGAATGTTCGAGTTCAGTACACCTGGATTTAGAAGAGCACGAACCACAGCAAGAACATGCAGCTGAAGCTGCAGTTGATGCAGTTGAAACTTATCAAACTTCCGTGCAAAATTCAAATGTCCAAGAAGTTGTTGTTGATACACTTGAAAATCAACAAGTCATTGAACCACTTCCAGCTGAAACTGAAGTTGCTGGAGATTTAACACCCACAGATGAAACAGTCTTCTATGTGAATCCAAGAGACCGCATTATTTACTTGGGAGTTTCGCGAGTCAACCCAGACTATGGCCATTACTACGTCAACGGCAATGACGTATTTTCAGACCTCAATCTCACGTTGCAACCTTACCGAAGAGTGCCAGATGGAATAAAGATCACTCCTGTGTCAAACATTCAACCGCCCGAGTTTTTAGAGTCCGGCACTGAATATGTCGTTGATGAGGCCCGTGTTCTCAAAAAGAGAATAGTCAAGTTTGCAAACGAGATCCACACAAGAGAAGAAACAGAGAGTGAGATCATAGACAAGAAGGGGTTGATTTCTGGGTGGAGACCTACGGAGATTATCAAGCGTGAGCCAAAGCCAGAGCCGAAACGGGAACCAAAACCGGAACCAAAGTCGGAACCAAAACCGGAACCAAAGCCGGAACCAAAGCCGGAACCGAAGCAGAAGACAAAGAAGATGAAATTGTTTTGGCAAAAGTGCAAGACAAAGCTCAAATTGAGGAAGCCGAACAAGAAGCAGAGCGGCGAGAACTTGGATTCAAACTTGGCTTCAAACTTGGCTTCAAACTTGGCTTCAAACTTGGCTTCAAACTTGGAATCGAACCTTAAACCGAACTTGGAATCCGACTTGATATTAAATCTGAATTCGAACCTCAATTCGAACTTGAAATCTGTTTTGAAGAAACCTACAATGGAAATTGAAGAAGGGACGGGATTGAGACGATGCAAGTCATGCATCATATTGGACGCTCCAAAGCTCAAGAAGGAGGACGAGCGTCCAAAGACTTATCAAAGAGTCACTCGACCTAAATCTTCTTGAGACATATTTGGCAATGAAACACAATGGCAAACAAGCAATATAACTGAGTCAGGTTGTGAATTGGTTCTGATGTTGTGATGAGACAACCAATAATGCAAGATGGGAATTTTTGTCGGGAAAAACTGGGATACCAAATCACACTTACTTTGGTATTAACGCATGCCTTTTTTGAGACTGCGTTCCAGTGGTGCTCGCGATTTTTTCCTCAATGAACACAACACAAAGCCGTGATTGAAGTTTGATCAGTTGTATGAAGAAGTGGCACGAGAATGGACTGCTTGGATGTATGTCTGGCCACTTCAGCCATTTGAATAGTTTGTTGTCAAGAAAAGTGTCGTTGTTTTGAAATTGCAAGAGGGGATTTAGTTAACAAACACCGCAGTACCAAATCACACTTTGGTATTAACGCATGCCTTCGTGACTGCGTTCGGTGCAACCTGCTAATTTTCCTCAATGAATTCGGAACAAAGTCAAAAGAAGAAAGTTGCTGTTGGAGGTTTCTTGTTGGGTTTGTCAAGTTGTGAATGTCTGTGTGTGGTTTCCATTTGCTATCATTTTGCTGTCAAGTTGTGACAGTGTTGATTTTTTGCATTTGCTGTGTGTTTTTTGTTTATTATACAAGTAACCGTGGAGCCCTTGGTGGTGTAGTTTTTGATCTCTCTGGCGCCCCTCCCCCTTCTTGCTCTCATCACTCTTTACACTATATTGAAGTGGCAATTGAAGCAAATGCTCTTGTGGATTGGTCCGCTCTTACGGAGTAGACTTGATGCCCTTTCGATGAGGCGAGTGATGATATTATGTACTTCATGACATCTTGTCCAACATCCTACGATGTAAAGACGGTCACGAGCTGAACCTTCAATAAAGTAAGTTGAACTATCATCACTATATGAGATTCCATGCATTATTTGCTCAACATTTTCAAAATATATTTGCTAGCTAATGTCAATGCCATTGACAAGACTCTTGGCTGCACATGATGATCGGCCAAACAAACTTTGAACAAATATAGGAGAAAATCGTTCCTTTCATCCAATTGACAAATGCATTATTACTGAAAGCTCCAAGAAATTAATCAGACATCCAAAGGAAGGTCATTTCGACGGTCACTGACATACAAAGAATTAGGTTCGTGTCGTATGCTACCGAGGAAACTGCGAATGTTTTGGTACAGTTTTCATCACCTTAATATCCTGAAGCTTTCAGTTGCAACTCATAAAGGTGGATTGTTGCAGTAGCAATGAATTGATTGATTGATGAGATCGCAATGTGGAACGATTGTTTTCCCTATTCCTTGTTCAATTTGTTTAGTCTCATTACAAAGTGGACACAAGTTCCGACCTTGCAAATTGCAATTGCAACCAAAATCCTTGGCAAAGGCTCCTCAAGTGGTTTGAATTGTTTAATCAGAAATGTAGATACTGGCAAGTATAAGCACACAATTCACGCACAATCCCAAATGAGAAAGTAACTGTGAAAAGCAGCAAGTAATTGACGTTGTCTGGAATCATAGTCGAGAATCAGACTAGGAAAGAAGTGAACAAGATTTCATCATGTTAAACAAATCCAAACCACAATGATTGGGGAGCTGATTGCCACTGCTCTTGATGATGGTGTGCTCTTCTCAAGGGTAATCCAATTTAAGGTTGAGACATCTTGATTATGTGGAATTCCATATCCACACACATCGCCAGCCTCAACCTTTGCTGGACTGAGTCCGTATTGTGAATGAATTAAGTCTCTTTAATATGTATTGTCAAAGACGACGGACTCCCTATCAATGCATCTGTATGGTGAGTAGAAGAAAAGAAGATCAAGAAGATGTTGTGCAGAGCAGTGAAAAAAAAAAAAGAAGAAAAAATTTTTTGGCCCTCAATTTATACTGTTGCTAACATTTTTCTCATCGCACAACTTTCTGTCTTTTTTTCTTTTCTTCTGCTTAGAAGAGCTGGTAGCGATTTGTATTTGGTAGCTTTTTTCTTCTGTGGGTGTTTTACTATTCTCTATCAGACTCAGGCTACGTTTGCAGACATTGGTACATATTTATATACTCATAATAGTTACTGATTCAAATGGAGGTGCTGTAACGGTAGTGTCCAAGCAACAATGGTAAGTATTCTAAGGGGTGTGTCTGGAAATAGATAGTAGAGAAATGCATCAGCCTACAAAGGCAAGCGAATATGTGTCGTGTCGTGAAGTATTGGCGACAATACATTTTCTTTTTATTTTTTTTTTTTTCTTTTCAAAACTCAAAAGGGAAAAGCAGAGACCACATGGGACNCAATTTCATGACAATTTCATTCTTCATCTGATTCACAATCAATCACGTACATCTTATCCAATACATTATACTACTACATAAGCTATGTCTGCCTCATTAGATAGATCATTGGATGACATCATTTCATCATCAAAAAAGTCTTTCAAATCAAGAAGACCAGGAGCTAAAATTGGTGGTGCCAGAGGTAACCAAAGCAAAGTTGGCAAAAAATTGGTGGGAAACAAGCCTAAAAAGATCGCCACTTTCAAAAGACCATCTGGCCCTAGTCCAAAGCTTGCTACGGCTGCTGCTGTTGCTACTCCAGCATTTGATTTGTCTTATGCTACCAAAGTTAATGTAACTGGTTTACCAAAGGACTTGAAGCAAGACAACATTAGGGTATGTTTAATATAACGAGATTTGTGCAAAAAGGGAGAAATGGAGGAAAAAGGAAAGGAAAAAACTAAGTAGTTTGAGAGCAGGAAGTTTTGGTTGAGTTTACAAAAGTTGGGGAGGGGGAGGGGGGGTTATGTTTCAGTAGAAGCACTGGTGGTGTTTCGTATTCTTGGGTATTGGGATTTTCCGTAATGTTGCAGTTGGGACTAAGTACTTTATTGCAAAGGGGCTAGTAAGTGACCGTTGGTGCGTCGTACCCTGCAGAAAGCGGTTATGAGCGTATTGCTGCAATCAGGGGACACGGTAGTATAGATCAGTCAAGAAATTTTGCTGGCAAATTCAGGACTTTGAGCAACCGAACCGACGTTCTACTCCTGGGAGCGATGTCCTAGCAGACTATGGATTCAGCCCTGTCCTGCCGTGCCATGTCCTGCCGTGCCATGTCCTGCCTATGAGTTCTTATGTATCTTTTCAAGACGGCATGATGGGAATGGATGCGGAGGTAAACAAAATTTGTCTTGAACCTTGTTTTGAAAGACACTTTCGAATAAAGTCACATCCTGGACTTTGATTGTATTGGAATCACTCGGTTTAGCCAGGGCAAATTGTTGCAGCAGCACCTCTCGCGTCACCTCGTTTTCGCCCCCATCGCATAAGAACAACAGTCTGGTGCATTATAAACATGGGGCCAATACCAAAGAACAACAACACTATTCATCGGAAACCCACGCTAATTATTTCAACTTTCACTTTGTGGGTTATCACATCTGCCTTATTTCCCCCCCTCACCTTGTGGATTAGAACATCCGCTCTGCTTTTCTTTTCCTTTTCACATTTCATCTTTTTACTATTTTTCTATGTTCTTTCGACTAACATTTTTAGGAATTTTTTCAATCGCAAGTTGGTGGTGTTCAAACCGTGGCCTTGAGTTACAACGAAAGAGGCCAATTTAAAGGAGTTGCCACTGTTATTTTCAAATCCAACAAGAATGCAGCTTTGGCTGTCGAAAAGTATCACGGTGCTTCAATCGATGGCGGTAAAGGTAAATTGTCTTTGGAATTGATTATCGATACTACTAAAAAACCACTTGCTGCTAGAATTGCTGCTAGACCAGTGCAGAAAGCCCAAGCTGCTAAAGCTATTGAGAATAAGAAGAAGTTGTTGGTTAAAAAGGCAAAGAAGCCAGCCAAGAAGCCTCACCAAAAGAAGAAGACTGTTGAGGAATTGGATCAGGAAATGAAGGATTACTTTGAGAACTAAGTGTTTTATCTGCTTCATCAAGTTGGGTCCTCGATGCTTTGTTTGTAGTTGTAATAAATTGTTAACTGTTTTTCACTAAATGGAGGACCATTGTAGAAACATCTAGTGACGACTAGCAACGACTAGTGATGACACTATAAAGCATCTTCATCGCAGTCTGGTGATTGTATGATCGTCACCTCTTTCAATCCTAATATCGTAAAGCGTCGAAACATTCGAGCAAGAGATGAGTGTAGGGTACACACACACACACACACACACACACACACACACACACACACACACACACACACACACCATTCATAGACTGATGGAAAAGAAGTAATGAGATCAGGGTCTCAAAGAAGAAAGAATACGACGAAAGTGGGATAATTTGCATGGTGAGTATAACAGATGTAAAGATCCATGTATGCCACGTAGCACCTGACATCTTTCTGTGTAATGTAACTTCCCCTCTACGAGATGATACCCTCCTCTTTCCTTATCTCTCAGGAAAGAATACGTGAAGAGTTGCTGAAACAGTGTCTTTGAAAGAATCACAAAGAGTCTAATTATGTGCGTTCCCTTTGGCGAAAAAAATTTGGGACCAGAGTCAAAGCCACATTCACGTCAGGTCAGAGCTTTAAGCACCACCCAAAAAAAAACCGACATCACTTTCCACCCCCTCACCCCTTCCACAATGCCAAACTTGGAATTCATCACAACGGCCGAGTTCCACATTGATAAAGGACCCTCTTTAGTATTTCAGTACCCCCATGAAATCCCCGGCTTAAAAGACTTGTATTTCCTTCCCGAGTTGATGTTACCAGATCAAATACATAAGCGGAGTGAAGATTATACGCTTTTCCTACTATATCGAAACATGACTACTGGAGACTTCCAGTATTTGTACAACAAGAATACGTGTGAACCAGACCCATACTACTTATACACCATAGTACTCAATCTACACAACGATGAGTATAAGCGGGGGGCTCAAGTTAAGAGTTTGTCAATCATTACCAAAATCCCCTATTTCAAAAATTTCAAACCGGTATTGATGATTTGTTTGGACTTGTATTTCAGCAAGAATAATGTTGATGCCGTTAAGGAATTGTACCATAGTTTAAATGCAAAAGATTTCAGTATATGTCATGACCCATCTAATACGACGGGAGGTGGTAATGATCTTAGTATTATCAAAAAGATCTTAGTGTCTAGCATATTGGATTTACCTATCAATGACAAGATATATTACGATGAAAACTTCCGAAACAAAGTTCTTGGGATTGGCAAGAATCGAGTCTCCAATGACACGTTGTTTATTAGGAAAGATTTAAGTTTCAACTCCATTGTCAGTTTCAACAAAATGAACATCCCCATTAAAGTGCCCTTGTTGAACTTGCCTGATACTATTGGTGATTACTTAAATCCAACAGACTTGAATTTCAAGCCAAACTTGATCAACATTTTGAATGCAAAACTATCGGGAGATTTATTGCACAGTGAAATGACAATTTACGGGCTCCAGACCCCACCAATCATTATACTCATCAATGCCATCTTGACGGGGAAGAGGATATTGCTTCTCAGTTACGAAAATAGTTCGGGGTACATCATAGATCATGTGCTCTTGATTTTGAAAATAGTGACTGGTGGTGGCATATTGAGTGGAATATTAACAAACTACAATGTGTTTCCTATTATCGACGTGTCCAAGATTGATTTACTCGAGCAATGCGAGAGTTTTATTGCCGGTACAATCAACCCATTTTTCAAACATAATGACAAGCTATGGGATCTCATGTACGATTTGGATTCGAATGAGTTGATAATCAGTTCCAACATTGCTGATTCCTCATTGTCCAATGCCAATCCAGAGTTTAAAAACTCCATCGTTTCTGAAGATGCCAGGTTTTTATCAAGTTTACAATTATCGATATTCAACTACAATGATGACTTAACCACCATCCAATTAATCTTTCGTCGTCACATCAATGAAATAGTTCGTATTTTACTCAGTTCAAAGAATTTCAATAGCAACTTGTTCCCCACGAACAAAGATTTAATACTCCTTCTTGACGGAATGGGGTATTTTTGGTCAAGCGATACCACCAAATTGTTGGAAATGTCCTGTTATCAATTGATTTCCAAAAAGTTTCAAGATTTACTATACAACGGTAAACTCACATATAATCTTCTTTTACCAAACTTGTCCAACGAGTTGAATCTCATGATTGATTTGCATTACCATTTACAAAGTTTGAGCAACGTATCCGTGGTTAATGCCAATTCCAAAATCAATGAACGAGAGGTGTGGTTCAATATTTTGAAGTTTTTGATATCTGGCAAATCATTGGAGATTTTCTTATTGACCACGTATTTGATCCCACCGAGTAGTTCAACCAGTTTACAAAGTTCATCAGCTCATGGTGGAAGTTTGACCATATTTGATAAAAACAAAGGAATCGAGTTGCTTTTGATTAACCTTTTCAATTATGATGATCAGATCAAATCAAATGTCATTATGATATTACAAGAGTTGCAAGATAATTTTCTATGTGGGTGGTGTCTTGAATTGTTTTTGAAAAGTAATTCCGTCTACGAAATTGCATTCAATGATTTGATCAATGAATAAAAGATCTTGAATCAATAACGCTTACACGGTATATTGTTTACTTCCTAAAATATGTACAGAACAAAAGTTGAAAACTTTCATAGGTTGTTATTCTTCTCAGTGAATCTTTCCCCATCACTTGATCACTTTATCTTCCGGAGCAGGCGAATAATATTGGGCCTCCTTTTCCTTATCATCCGGCCAATATTTCTGCTTCAAGATATTATACAAACTCAATCGATCACCGGGTCTTCTAGTACTATAAGCAAATCCACTTCCAATATACTTACTCTGTCTTTTTTCATCTTCATAGTTCAAATTGGGGTTATTTTCAGGGAACCCTGGTCTCTTGACACTGATGTTGAATTCATTGTCGGCATTATTGACATCGGAGTCGTTTTCTTTTTGATGACGAAGTTCCTTCTTGTATGCAATATGTTTCTTTCCAGTTATGAATAAAGCTATGGCGATGGATGCAAAAAGTGCATATCTTCGAAGTATGGAGGATTGTGTCTCTGTGTTTCTTTTGGCTAGGTTATGCATCGCTGGAGTGATTGTTGCAACTGCAAGGAAGACAGTAAAAACCGTATGGACAATGTGGTTGAAGAGTCAGAGAAAAATCTCCTTCCTTTGATCTTTCATTGGTGGTCGCTACCACGTACTTAAATGGTTTCACCGCCTGCCACAATCTTAGTCGTCAAAGCTTCTGTTAAGTTTGAAGTTGCCCTTGGCAACCAATTGACTTGTGAAGTTCGGTGTAATAAGTGATTCCACTGACTGGTGATTGCTCGATTGCATTTGCATATTAAAAGCAGCTCTATTGAGATTGCGTTCTGATACACATTGACTGAAACCAACCACTCTAACTGTCTCCGGTCGTGATGTCAACGGAGTAGGCCAAATTAGCCAAACCAAAAGTAGCCTGTAACAAAAGCGTCTCTCACAGCCGTTTCCAGAGCTACGGTGACACCCGTTTCGCGTCACTATTCTCCTTCTCCCCTTCTCCCTCATTTAATCGGAACAAAATAACAAACTTTTCCAACACATGACAGATGTATCTTTCACTTGGTCCAGAGCTGAAGTTGACCAATTTCTTGCTACTCGAGTCTATTGCTTCAATTAATTGCCGGTATGTATCTACCTGAGCATCGGTTAACTCTGGTTGTGCTTGCTGATCAGTATTGTTGTACGTTCCCACGTATTGCAAGTCATTCGTGAATACGTGAATTTCGCCAATGCTGATCGTGTTATATAGCTCTAGTGTCCTCTTGAGGAAATCCGTGGTTTCTGAGGGTAAATGCGTCATCTTGCTGGCAAATATGAATGATGTATTAGTGCTCTCAGATTGGTGGATTCTCTAGCGTCGCTACCAGAAGGTAAAAAAACAACCGTTTACATCAATAAGAGGTAGCTTCTTTTACTTCATTCGTTTATATATTTTCTATATAGCTGACATCTAGGCTAATTCTTGGGGAGGACTTTCGTGACTTTCTGCTTGATCCCCTTCATTTCCTTCTTCTCGGTCCTCCAGAGTATGTGACATCGTGCTTGCTGGCCCTGGCGTTGTTAATGAGTCGTCCTGGATATCCTGCTGCTGATCTGGTATAGAAGCCGTGGTTGTCGTAGTCGCAGTTGCAGTCGCAGTCGTAGTCTCAGTCGCAGTCGTAGTCGCAGTCGCAGTCGTCGTGGTCATCGTCTGGTTACTGGTACTACTACTTGATGAGCTTGGAATGCACCAGTTTCGATGGCAATGCCATGCTTTCATTTGGCAATCCCTCGAGCAGTATTTGGTTCGTTTACAGCGACGACACTTTGAAAATTCACGAGGGTACTTCTCCCATTTGCCACAATCCAAGTTTCCACATTGGCGTACACCACCCTTGAGGTCATTTCTGCGACACGAGTTCCTCATAATGACTCCCGACCAGTAATACATATCAGTTCCTGACAAAAATGTAAACTTCTCGACAAGAGGGAATAAATTGACTCTCTTGTATTCGCTAACTGATTCATCTTTATCCTCGTCAAATTCGTCAATGTCAAAGTACTTGTAAGTTTCGTAATTCCATTTGTGTTCAAGGAATTCCCTCCTCAATAGCCTCTTTTCAATAATTGTATTTGACAATTTCTTGCTCTCTTGGTCAATCAATCTACTCAATTTCCCATTCAACTGATGGAGCTTTACTTTTCTGAGAAAGTCATTATCCAAAGCGTGACAAGCAACTATTTCTTCGTACAAGTCCGTCATTAACTTTCCATGTTCATTGGTCTCTTCGAAAGTGGCATCACTTGAGTCTGAAAGCTCCTCATCCAAATCTCCATCGGAATTGTCGTTCTCTTCATCAAGTTCCTCATTTGCTTCGTCGGTAGCTTCATTGTCTCCGCTTCCGCCGAGTTCGACACGACAGAAATCTTGGCGATCGTCGTATTCCGGATCACATAAAGAAAATTTGTCGTCTTTGAGAACCAAATTGTCATCATTCAAGGAGTTCAACATTTGAGGCGAGTTTGATGCACTAGGGTTGAACTTGTTTACATAAGTAACTCTAGAACTTCTCGTTCTTGGTCTGATAATGGGTCTGGATTTAAGACTGAGGGATTTTTGCATCTTCAATCGAATTTGGTTCTCAAGGTACATCTTCAACTGCTTATCTCGTATACTCATATCCATAACCAAATGGGTATTTTGTAAGATTTCCTTGAGCTGGGGGTACTTTGAAATGTATGCTAGTAGTTGCAAGGACCAAACAATATCGTCATCTTTGGGAATCACAACCCCAGTTTTCGTAAATGACCGCACAGCTGATTTTGTTCCTTTGTTGTTGATATTCATATCGCGAGTATACAACTCCGACAAAAATTGGAGATTACTGTCCATATCAAACTCGCAATCATTGACGTACCCTTCCTCGAAAAAATCAGTCTCACTAGTCTCCCGAAGCCTACTCAATATGTGCAAAACAACGAAATTGCGTTTCACCTCTGCGTGAATGGGTAAACTATCAAGAATATTGTCATTTTCAACCCCAACGACTCTGTTCCCACTATCCTTAAGCGACGAAGCTCGAAGAATTTGAAACAACTCTTCAATACTCGAGTTTTCCACGTCTTCATGTCGAATATTATCTAGCGTTACACCAGCAGAAACAAGATTGTTGGCTGAAAATGTCGTTACCGACGTGGACTCCAAAGCAGCAGCTGTGGTCAGAAACTGGTCAAAATATAGGGTATTGGGTACGGGAATGAAAGTGGTGTTTGATACGACTTCTGCGGGTGGAAGGTCCTGTAGGTCAGTCAGGTAAGTTGCATACCCATTTTGCTCCTGCTCCTGCTCGTGTTCCTGCTCCTGCTCGTGTTGCTGTTGCTGTTGCTGTTGCTGTTGCTGTTGCTGTTCCTGTTGCTGTTGCTGTTCCTGTTCCTCTTGGTTGAGCTGTAGAGGAAATTGACTTTGTTGTGACTGTGTAGTAGTTGTATGCAAAAAGACTTGTTCGTGCAATGTCAAGTAGTTATCTAATACAGTTGCAATAATTGGCAAGATACCAGCTCTCACCACTTTTTGTCTAATCTTTTCGGTGCCTCTAGTTCCAATGAGGACCAAGCATTGGAATGCTAGCGTCCATTTCCAAGCAGTCAACACTTGCTTGTCTCCGTTTTCATTAACGAACCTCGGACGGTTATGGCATTCATGCAATATTTCAATCAACCTCTCGATGCCCCCATCAACTGATAGGGTCTCGCGTACTTTCGCCGACGAGCTGACCAAGTAAGTGAGATAGTTTAGTGAATTGACCAAAGGTTTGTCCGATGTAACGTCTAATGCTCGTCTGTCATAAAGGCTTGTTGTTATTGTAACTGCTGCTTTGTTACTGGAAATGGCTCTGTAGTTGGAATCACGCATCTAAAGAAGAACTCTCGGTGTTTAAATTGAAAGCGCAAAGGAATGGTATTGCTCTAAATTTGATTCTGGACCAGTTGTGAGTTCATGAAATGTGCAAATGCAAATCGAGGCGTTTTTGCAATTATTTAACTAGATGCGAGTGGCGTTAAAAGTGAAGTGAATATAGAAAACAATAAGTGTGGAATAGATATAAGGATATGGGTGATATAATGCAGCTGGTAAAAACAACCCGTGAGGCTAGATGTAAGTGTGTTTTCAAACAGTAAAATGATGTTCTCTAGTGGTTGGAAATATTTAGTTGTAGTCACAACTCCAGTAAGTGAAAAGGATTTGTAAATTGTGTATTTTTTTTTTTTTAATTTAAAGTTTTGTATGTATTTTTTTTATTCTCATTTTTTTTTACTATCGGTAAGAGTTGGATTATCAAGAACAGGATGAAGAGATGGTACTGTTAGTTTTCATCCATAGCCAGAGAAAGAGAAATTCATGTCTAAATTCTCTCTAGTGCTGCATAAGTACAGCCTCACCATAGAGATGTGAAAACCGCTCCCATATGTAATGCTTCTAGCAAAAAAAAAAAAAAAATCTATCATCTCTATGAACAACACCTATTCAAATCCCGGAATAGGCACCTTTCTAACAACATTATACAGGCGACAATCCTAATCTCCCTTCAATTTTCACCATTGCATTCATACAATGTTCCATGAATATCAAGGTCAAAATACTATGGGGTCCCACTCTAAACAATTGGGCCCAGAATCCCTTATACAAAGCCATTGGTCCTTCAATGGCAATAGTCTTTTTGAAACAATCCAATGGGCCCTTGTACAAGTTCCCTTTCTGGTTATACATTCTTGTCAATACCACATCCCATGGGTTCATCACAATTGCTACCCCTAGACCTGCCATTGACGCACTTATGAAATGTAATAGTAAAGTATTGTCCTTAGCAATGTGGTGTTTCAAAACAAAGTTTTTAGTCAAGTTGTATACAGGCAATTGCGCTGCTGATCCAGCACCAGTTCTCAAAATTGCAGCATCGACACCTCTGTATAGTCCTTTGAAACCCTCAGCTTTGTATATCAGTGACAACCCATCCCAGGCACCACTATAGTACGTCTGCTGTCCAACGGCCCCTGTTTTTGAATATGATTGCATTCTAGTTTTCACTAAGAAGAATGGAGACGCCAAGACTGCACCAGCAGAACCAGAAACAAATCCAGCAACCACATTCACAAGTAAGTTTTGAGGCACGTGACCGTCGTGAACTTGTGAAGGCATAAACAACTTGGTGATGTAGTACCGACTAGGCTCATAAAATCCAATTCTGCATCCATTCAAACCAAGCTGGTAAAGGTATCCACATATCAATCCTTGTTGCAACCCCCGCAATCCTTCGTGTTTGTATATAGTCTTGAAAGCCTGGAAAGGGTTCTTATAGAGCTTGGGCTGTCCAGACAGTTTTGAGAGTTCACCTTGAAGCTGCATTCTTATTTTGATCAACTCAATAGGGTTGGTAAAAGTGACTGCTCCACAAGCTGCAACACCACCGGCGATAAAACCACCCAAAGTCGAGACTTTTTGTGCATTATTCTTCAGAGCAGCAGCGCCCACATCGGGCTTTTTCAAATGCACCTCGTGTGGTATACTTATCCTGCTGGATTCTGTCTGACTCATGGATGGAGGGCGATTTATAACAACTCGCTCGATACAAAAGGGTATAAGGTCCAGTTGGTTGTTTGTAACAAGCCCAAGAAGTTACGAGTGAAAAATGAAAAGGAAAAAGAAAAATAAAAATAAAAATAAAAAAAAGAAGAAAAAGAAATTTCAGGCACAAAAAAATTCTCTTCACGGCCGGAAGCGGCAAAACACTACTTTCAATTTTCACCAGATACATTTGAGAAGAAAGGATACTTGATCGGTGGTTGATAAGTTGCTGGTATAGAAAGAGAGCAAGTATTTGGCAAATTTGAGAGCTCACTAGCCAAAACGGCATCATGTGCTAGAATGTGAACTTGGTCTGAGTGGCACGTGTGTATCACGTGCTAGACGGCAAAAAGTTCTATTTCTGCGCAGAACGAAATTTTCGTTTTAGTAATGGAACAGAGGTCTACAACTACTTGGATCATCCAAAGTTAACCCAGAGTAATTATGTTAAGGCAGAACTTAAGGCGAAACTTGAACCGGGTATTTGTGCGGCATTTTGCCTCCAATACTTCTTCAGCATTGAGCAAATACCCAGTGTCATCTCGATTACATGGATTTGAAATCATGAACACCACCACGATACCTGAATTTTCGTTGGTTGCCGTATTGCTAAAACACGAAGCCACTGGTGCTCAGCATTTACATTTGGATTCGGCCACCGACAACAACAACGTCTTTTCAATAGCGTTCAAAACAAACCCACCAGATGCCACAGGAGTTCCTCACATATTGGAACACACCACCTTGTGTGGTTCCAAGAAATACCCAGTTCGAGACCCATTTTTCAAAATGACTAATCGAAGCTTGAGTAATTTCATGAATGCAATGACGGGGCATGACTATACCTTTTATCCATTTGCAACGACTAACTCGAAAGATTTTGAAAATTTGATGGATGTGTATCTTTCGTCAGTCCTTGAACCATTGTTGAACCGCAACGATTTTATTCAAGAAGGATGGAGGTTGGAAAACTCTGTGTTGGAGGACATTAAAAGTAATCTTGAATTCAAGGGTGTTGTTTACAATGAGATGAAAGGGCAGTACTCAAATTCAATGTACTACTTTTACATCCGGTTTTTGGAGTCGATATATCCAACATTGAACAACTCAGGGGGTGACCCTACAAAGATGACAAATTTGACATATGAAGAACTACTTGACTTTCACAAGCGCAATTATCATCCATCGAATGCAAAGACTTTTACATATGGAAATTTGCCATTGGAGGGACATTTACGTCGCCTTGATGATTACTTTAAAGACTTCACAAAGAGGTCAGTTGGTGTGGACGTGAAAGAGCCAATTTTTGTAACTGATCCAGAACAAGTTTACGAAGTTACTGTGCCTGGTCCCTTTGATTCAATGGTTAACAAGGACATATCTGAGCAATACAATGCATCAATCACTTGGTATTTGGGAGATCCGTTGGATCCACTGCAGTATTACAATTTGTTCAAATGGAAAATACTCGCGTCTTTATTATTTGATGGCCATAACTCGCCCCTTTATCAAGAGTTAATTGAAAGTGGGTTTTCCGAAGATTTTTCTGCAAATTCAGGCTTGGATTCGACAACTGCGCTTTTTTCACTTACAGTTGGTCTTAATTACTTGACTAAGGAGAAGGTGAAAAGCTTGGAATCGGTGATTACCAACACCATCAAAGACAAGGTAATTCCAAAGTTGAAAGAGAACGATCCTGCATACAATGATAGAGTGGAGGCATTATTGCATCAAATTGAGTTGGGATTCAAGAGACATAAACCTGAATTTGGATTCAGCTTGTTGAGCTCACTAGTGCCATCTTGGGTAAATGGTGCGGATCCGTTGAAAGTCCTTACTGTAGAGGAAATTTTGACTAAATTCAAAAATGAATACGCAAAGAGAGGATTGGCAATGTTTAAAGAGTTGTTGGATGACACGTTGTTGAATGACGCAACAAAGAAGTTTAAATTCACTATGGAACCAAAACAAGATTTTGCCAAGCAGTTGAGTCAAGTTGAGAGTGAAAATTTACAAAATAAGGTGAAGAGTTTGACCGAAGAAGATCGGAAACAGATCTTTGATAGGAATATAGAATTGGCAAACTCGCAAAGCGAGGAACAGAATGCAGATGTGTTGCCCTCCTTGACAGTGGAGGATATCTCCAAAAAGGGAACTTTTTATGACATTGCAGTGACGCGTGCCAACAATAAGGACATATATGCAAGAATTGTTGATACCAATGGACTAGTATACGTGAATGCGTTGAAGGAAATACCTTTTTTGCCGACCAAATACTACAAGTACCTTCCGTTGTTCAACAGCTGTTTAACCAATCTTGCCGGTACAACAGAAACATCCATCACTGATCTTGAAACAAGAATCCAATTGGTGACTGGCGGGGTCTCATTCAATCACAAGATTTCACCTGACCCTTACAATATAAACCTGATGAAGTTGCAATACCTGTTGGGTGGGGTAGCTTTGAAAGAAAATGCAGCCAACATCTACCAATTATGGCGTGAAATCCTTCAAGACACTCGCTTTAGTGACGATGAAGATGTTTTGGATAAGCTCAACACTTTGATCAAAAACTTGGGCCAGAATCAAATCAATGCCGTGGCTGAGAGTGGCCATTCGTATGCATGTGGAGTCAGCAACTCCAAAATCACACCTGCCAAGTACATCAAGCAAGTTACAGGAGGCTTGGAACAGGTTCAATTTGTGATGGAGATGAACCGGGAACTCGAAAGTAAAGGAAAAGATTATTTACGGGATGAGGTTTTGCCGGTTTTGAGGAAGATGAAAGAGAGTATATTGCAAGGTGATTTCAAGTACAGGGTAGTTGGAGACTCTGAAACTGTCAAAGAGAATGAGGTTTTGATTGGCAAATTTGATGAGCAAATGTCGTCACCCACGGTGAAAACACCTCTTGCAACAGAAGGTCTTGATTCATTGCTTGAGTCATTCAAGTACAATCATACCTCGGAGAAGCAGTTGGTGAATTTGCCATTCCAAGTAGGGTATTCGTGTTTGGCGAAAAAGGGTACATCCTTTGCGTCCAAAGAAGGCGCTGCTTTACAGATTTTATCCCAGTTGTACACATTCAAAAACTTGCATTCCAAGATTAGAGAAGCCAATGGAGCTTATGGTGGTGGGTTGACGTACGACGGGTTGGGTGGAACACTTGATTTCTACTCATATAGAGACCCCAATCCAATCAAATCCATCCAAACATTTGAAGAATCCTTTACATATGGACTTGATGCTCAATGGACAGAGAAGGACCTAACCGAAGCCAAGTTGAGAGTGTTTCAAAGCATAGACGCACCAATCAACATTGCAAGTCAAGGTGCAACTCATTTCTTTGAAGGTATAAGTGATGATTTGAGACAAGAACGAAGAGAGAATTTCTTGAGCACCACTATTCAGGATTTGCAACATGTGACGCAAAATTATCTTGTAAAGAATCCAAATAACTTGTCAACTGTCATTGGAGATGAAGCGTTGTTGAAAGTTGACAACAGTTGGAAGATCAAAAACCTCAAACTATAGATATAAAACAGTATATAGTGTGCCTGTAAATAGATGAAAAATAAAAAAGAATAGATAGACAGTTTAATGATGATATAATAAAAGTTATCTATTATTGTTGTTTTTTATGTACAAGTCATGACCAATCGTTATATATGCGGAAAAGAAAATGCGGTGCTAGCTCCACCTCCTTCCCATCTAGCGGTGTCTTCTAGCATAATCCTTCGGAGGTAATTCGGCAATTTTCCTCTTCCTGTCTTCCTTAAATAGACAATGTCTTTGAGCTCTTGGATCGTATAATATCAAATTCAATTTTCTAGCGCTCCTAGGTATCCTAAACCACTTTTCATATCCCGTCAATGCGGTAGATACCATTTTGATCATGGTAGTGTTTGCTTTAGCTTTAGCCATTGTTGTTGTTGT